CCGCTGGGCTGTCTTGACGATGCTTCCTGTTCTCCGAGGTGCGTCCAGAGTACCACCCAGTGATGCAGTATGTGATCACTGACTCTATAGTGCACCTGTAGGAGTTCACCAGGAGCTACTGTGGAAGTTATGCTTTCTTCAGACTCCAGAGTAAGTGGAGCCTCTGAAGTCCTTTATTGTCATGACTGATGTGTTTGTGGTCCATGACAGGTCACAGCTGATCTGAACCCTGAGGAATCGAAAGCTCTGAACCACCTCCACCTTCTCACCAGCGATGCTAATGGGGTGGTGTACCCCATGCTTCTGTCTCCTGAAGTCTACGATCAGTTCCTTTTGTCTTTTTTGAGTTCAGGGTGAGGTTGTTATACTGGCTCCAGAGCTCCAGCGTTGTTTGAGATCAGACCTATCACAGTTGTGTCATCTGCAAACTTAATAATGATGTTAGAATCATGGGTGGGCTTGCTGTCGTGTGAGAAGATGGAGTAGAGGAGGGGGCTGAGTCCACAGCCCTGAGGTGCTCCAGTGTTGAGAGTGATGGAGGTGGAGGTGTGGTTACCCATGCACACTGTCTGTGGTCTGTTGTTCAGAAAGTCCAAGACCCAGTTGCACAGGTGTGTGTTCAGTCCAAGGTTGTGCAGTTTGATGGCCAGCTTGATGGGGGGGATAGTGTTAAAGGCGGAGCTGTAGTCAATAAACAGCATCTGCACGTAGCTCTGCTCCAGGTGTGGAGGGCCAATGAAATGGATTTTTAGTGCATTTGTTCTGCTTGTTTGCGTCTTACCCCCATTTCACCTACATTTCTGGTTTGTTTATATCAATGACTGACATACAAACATGTCACTATATAAAAAGATCTACAGACTATTTAAAAAGTTTGCCTCTTTCTAGGGCATAAAGAAGTGTTTTAATTTTTATTTTGAACAATAAAAGTTTCATATTTACTCTGTGGTTATGTTGTCAGTCAGAAGATACTTTGCATTTTCAGCTCATGCCTCAGTGCTCTGGGAGGGTTTATATTCCAGGAGGTTTAACACTTCATGACTGACAGCTGCCCTTCATCACAACAGACTCCAAACAAACATGACTTTGATCAGCCTCAGCATCTTGCTCTTCATCCTCACTCACGGTAAAACAGAACAAGCCTGACTATTTGAAAACATTCTGAACTATTGTCTTTGCTAGATAATTGAAATTGATGTCCACAGCTTCTTAGTGTGACGGTTTTACATATCTGTTTTCATTTATTTCTTTTCAGAATCCAGAGGACAAGTGACTGTGACTCAGACTCCAGAGCTGATATCAGCTTCATCAGGACAGACAGTCACTATAAACTGTAAAATCAGCAGACCAGTATATGTTTATAACAATTGGCCCTATATAGCCTGGTACCAGCAAAAACCCAGAGGAGTTCCTAAACTCTTTGTATTTGATTCAACACGCCTTTTCCATGGAACCCCGTCTCGATTCAGTGGCAGCGGATCTACTAGTGACTTCACTCTGACCATCAGAGGAGTCCAGGCTGAAGATGCAGGAGATTATTACTGTCATAGTTTCCACTACTTTGGCAGTAAGAATGAGTACACACAGTGATACAGAGCTGTACAAAAACCTCCCTCAGTCAGACTGCACAGTCACTGCACTGCTGCAGCTGGGACTCACTGCAGGTGCTGAGGGGGAAGATAATGACTTGAAGCCCCCAAAATGTTTTATTTATTAGCATCAATAACCCCAAACTAATGTGACCTGACAGAGCTACAGCAGATCCACTTACACCCTGATACAGCTGGTGACAGGAAAGGGGAAACACAGAGGCTCAGTGTGTAACACTGTTACCTCACACCTGCAGGGTTGGGGATCATATTCTGATTCTGCTCTTTGTGGGGGGAGTTTGCTTGTTCCCCCCATGTTGTGTGAGTTTCCTCTGGGGGGCTCCTCTTTCCTCCCCCAGTCCAAAGCCATGCAGTTAGGCTACGTGTCTCCAGTGAACTGCATATACTGTTTAGGTGTAAGTGTGTATGTGCCTTGTGATGGAATAGCACCTACAGTATTAAAATAACTTTCTCTGCTAAATACTTGATCTTCAAAATGGGTCAAACAACAAGCATGAGAACAGTTAGCAGCAAAGATGGAGCTGGCAGCATTGCAGTGATCAGTGGAACAGCAAGTTATGTTGTAAGAGTAAAGAGTCTTGTTTGTGTTTAATAGCTTTAAGGCACTGGTATTGTCCACTGTTTTTATTTATGCAGTGAAAGTGAAATGATAAGGAACAAGCAAAAACGTAACAAAATAATGAATTGTTTCAGTCATATTGTCAGTAGAGTCCAGATTGAAGATAATGGAGATTATAGGTGTTACGTTATTATTAACTAACCAATGGAGTGATTTGTTCACATAATGTTACAGACTTAAACTTAACCCTCTGGAGTCGCCGACCCCCACCTGTGGGATCAAACAGAAATCTTGCAAAACCATCTAAAACACTCCATGAGATTTTGTCATAGAAACATTGTAACGATCACGTCCAGGGAAGCAGAAGCAGGGAGACGGATCATCAGGAACGGGATTTATTCCAGGGAAAACAGGGAAGGACAGGGCAGCAACGAACGAACATTAATGGCAGATCCGGGGAAACAAACTCAGACGCAGACTAAAATACACAGGACAAGCCGAAAATAACAGGCAACAGGTGATCACAATCAGGAATTAACATGAGGTAACAAGGGGGACATGGCACACAGGAGGACTGGGCACGCAGGTCATGACAGAACCCCCCCCAAAGCACGCACTACGGGCGTACCCCAAAGGGGAGCGGCGGAGAGGATGATGCCGGGAACAAGACGAACCTGGAAAACAAGACAAGACCATTACTGGGTCACAGAGAACAGGACGGACACACAAAATAGGCACAGGGGCAAAAACCAGGACAAAATCTGACACAGAATGGGAAACACAGACAGACAAACCAGAAAAGGAGACACCGGGGGAACACCAACGGGAGGAACGAAAGGGCCAGGAGTGAACGCGGGAGGCACAGAGGGATGAGGAGCAGAGACAGGAGGGACGAAACAAGGAGGCAGGACAAAGGCTGGCAGACAATGGGGAGCCAAAGGGAGCCATGGCGGGCGATGGGCGGCAGCCGGAGGGGCCGCAGGCAACCGGGAGGCAGGAGCAGGAGGGGACCATGAAGGGGGCAAGGAGACAGGTCAAGGGACAGACGGAGGAGTTGAGGAGGGAGTCGGAGGGGGCACCAGGAGAGGCGAGGAGGGAGTCAGAGGGGAGCCGAAGCAGGCAAAGAGGGAGGTTGCGGTAGGTGACGGCGCAGCCACAACCGGTGAAGGCGCAGCCGACCAACGAGTCGGAGGAGGGGGAGCTGCAGGCGACCGAGGAGCCGATGTCGGGGATCCCACAGGCGACTGACGAGGCGACGGAGGCGGGACTGAGGACTGTCGACGAGGCGTCGGAGGGGGACCCACAGGTGACCGCCGAGCCGGAGCCACAGGACCCGCAGGCGCCCCGCGAGCCCCAGCCAAGGCGAGCCAGGGGGCAGGGCGGGCAGGACCCTGGCGTCGCGCCTGTGTCCTCTCCCCTTTTGGGACACTGAAAGGCGGGGTTCTGACCGGGATCGACCTCGCCGGGGTGAGGGCAAAGGAGTCATTAGGGAGGTCCCCGAGCGGTCCCACTCAAGCTCCTCCTCCTCCAAGGAGAAAGGAGCGGTGGTCGAGAAGTCCGGGACTTCCTCGGGGACATGGACCAGGGTCAGGGGCACCAGGGCATGAGCCACAGGGACAGGAGTCACAGGGGTAGGCGGAGCCGGAACCTCAGGCGCTGTAGGGGGTGGAGCGGCAGCCGGAGGCGGGGCCTCAGGCGCTGCAGGGGGCAGAGCCAGAGGTGGGGCCTCGGGCGGTGCGGCAGCTGCCTCAGGCATGGGTGGAGCTGCAGGCGGTGCCACACGAGCCTCGGGCGCAGGCAGATCTGCAGGCATCGCAGCAGGCGGAGACGGAGCCACAGCAGGAGCCTCGGTTGCAGCAGCAGGCGGAACAGTAGGCGGTGCCGGGACCTAGGCCGCAGGCGGAGCAGCAGGCGGCGCCGGGACCTCAGGCGCGGGCGGAGCCACAGCAGGGAGCTCGGGCGGTGCAACAGTAACCACTGACTCGGGGCCAGCAGGGGGCGCCGCAGGAACCACCGACTCGGGCCAGCAGGGGGCGCTGCGGCAGCCAGAGGGACAAGCGGGACAGGCAGGACAGGCAGGAAAGGCGGGTCAGGGATGGGAGCCAGGGTTGGCACCTCACGTGCAGACATTGCCCCTTTAAGAGCCCGCAGAACCCGCAGGATAGCGTCCCACACATTAATGACCGGACTGGGGAAACAAACTGAAACACGGACTAAATATATTGAACTAATGACAGTAACAGGAAACAGCTGGTGAACACGGGGAATCCACACGGGGTAGATGAGGGGGGCATGGCACACAGGAGGACTGGACACGCAGGTCATGACAAACATTAACAAAAAACACCCCCAGAAACCTTGAACGATCTACTGTTCAAATATATTTACGAAGAAACTAATTAAGGACTGATATAAAGAGCAACTTTGTGTCAATCCATCTCTCTTTGTCCTCATTCGTGCTGCAGCGATGCCACAGTCTGCCTGGTGCCACAATATTTTAAAAATTAATTGTGAGGATAAACATGCAGAAGACGTATCTTCATATTTACAATAAAAAAAAATTTGCAAGTGAACACAGCTTATGACCAGCAAGAATTTAAAATGATAGAAGAGTAATTAAAACAATTAAAACATAAAAAAAAAAACAATTTAAAAAACTGCTACCTCACAGTATGAATGAGCATGCAGGCTTGCCTTCCCATCGCCACAGAAACATGCATCACATGTATTTGCATGAAAGACACACTTTGCATTGGCAGCACGTCCCTCAGTGACCTGTGGCAGCTTATAAGCCTGTGAGATTAAAACTGTGTTACTCACAGCCGTCCTGCAGAGCAACACAGTGCACAGGGACAATGACTTTAATCACCATCTTCATCTGGACGCTCACCCTCTGCATCCAAGGTCAGTCTGAATACATCAACAATATTCATACTGAAAATCAAATACTATAATACAAACTAGAAATATTGTAATGATATAATCATGTTTGTTCAATATTTCAAATAATGTTGCTTCTGTTTTTTAGAATCCAGTGGCCAGATCACTGTGACACAGGCACCTGCAGTAAATGCTGTTACTGTTGGAGAAACTGTGACCATGAGCTGTAAAACCAGCAGTCTTATATCAGGATGCAGCAATTGTGTGTCATGGTACCATCAGAGGACTGGAGAGCCGCCTAAACTCCTCATCTATAGAATAAGCAGCCGTCAGTCTGGAACACCACAACGGTTCACTGGCAGTGGATCTGACTATGGGTCTGACTTCACTCTGACCATCAGTGGAGTCCAGGCTGAAGATGCAGGAGATTATTACTGTCAGAGTGCTCACTACATTAGTAATAGCTGGGTGTTAACACAGTGATACAGAGCCGTACAAAAACCTCCCTCAGTCAAACTACACTGCTGCAGCTGGGACTCACTGTAGGTGCGAAGGGGGAAGTTAAACCAAAGCTCTATAAAATTCACTTTTCAGTAAGCAAAATACAGTTAAAATACACCCAAAAACATTATGATTTTTACACAATTAACTCTCATTATTTATA